CTAGGATCGGATCAGATCTACTCATGTCTGATTGGATCTGATCAGATAGGGCCAGTATTTTGATCAAACCAGATCTGAGTGGATTGGATCTGATGAGATCTGCTCAAATCTGTTCAGATCTCTTCCATTTTTTCCCGGGTTTGAAAAATATTATTTCGTAATATGATTTTTCTGAATGTTGTTAAAATATTTTGAAAACGTTACAGAAAATATTTTTCAAATGTTACTCTGACATTTATTTGAGATCAATGCAACAGTTCAAAATTCCTTGTAATTTGGACTCAGAAATAACGTTGGTAGTATATTAATTTTCTGTTGTTATAATGTTATCGTTTTATATTGTGCGCAACGCTCATCGCGACAGCCATGATGTACATGATTATCCTACACACGATGCGTGAGTGCGTATACACGTGTGTCAATCGAGGAGTGCGGAGTGCTCTTTATTTACAGCATATTTATATATAAGTAGTAACTATTATATTCTAAAAGTTGTATATTAATGATAAGAATTCAATTAACCATATACGTGCTATAATTATTTGTGCTATGAATAGTAGCTGGTGATGTAGGATTCATTTTCCGATTTACAAGAGAGATTTACAAAAGAGAGGAAATATCAATTAATTTTTTTACGTTCTATAATAGATTTGTCCTTGGACATTAAAAATATCATCAAGGTTCGTCAATGCTATTATTTCAATGGTATCAAACAGTGTAACTTTCTATAAAATAACCTCAAAATTTAGCGAAATATGTAAATGATAACGTATAAATAAGCACACTATGGTACACTATGCATGAAGACGATTTGTTGAAGTATTGTGCGGCTTTAATACATCATTGTTTGCATATATCACTGTAAAAGTAATTTAGTATAAAATTGGTATAAAGTTGATAGATATGTAACAAACGATCAGTACAAACAAGACCAAAACTGACTTTTATTTATTTCTATATTTTTTTCACATATATGTGCTATAATCACACTCTAAAGTATATAAATAGATTATTGTAAGCATATTTTATATGTACAGGGCAATGAATATGTCTTAACATATGGGATCAATTGTTGTATCAAATTCAAAAAACCACCATTTGAAAAATTTGACCCTGGCTAAGATAAACATCAGTGAACAATATATTATAAGGAAAACTCTGTACAAGATACTAGAAATGCTAAAAGATGACCAAGAAGCTTTTACACAAGTCGTAAGTAAAGCTCTGCTTATTATAATTAAATTATGTATATATTAAATTACAACCTTTTTCTTATCTAAACTATATTGAATTCTTCTTGTTTTAGAGGTTATTAGACAACAATCCCTTGTAATACAGAAAAAGACTTGGAACACTCTATAATGGAATAACTTAGATTTGCAAACATCCGTAAACAAAGGAAAAAATCTTAAAAGGTAAAAAAGTAATATAATGTATTTATGTCTGTTAAGTTAGCACCCTCTATAAAAAACCGGAATAACACATATGCAGAAATTAAGTGCTCTTTATGCGTTAATTATGTGCTCTATTCACGATTTTTGTGCTCGAGCGGTTTCGTGGGAAATTGCAATTGAAACTGAGGGTGCTGGCTTAACGTAAGCTAGCACCCCCACTCATTAAAATTACATATAAAATAAAAAACTCAATATGCTAGAATTATATGCTTTTTATGTGCTTTCAAATGCCTCAAACAAAATTAGTCTATCTGTAATAGTTTAAAAAATATACGCAAAAAAAGATATATATACTACTGATATAAGAATAAAGTATCAGTTAAAATAGAGAAAGCGAAATAATTCTTGTCTTAAAATGTTTCTCGATTAATGTGTTCTCGAAATATGCACAATGAAATTTTCGTGCTTATCCCCTTCGACCGACCTGAACGTGAGTACCCCATACGTACAAGAGTACCTAACCAGTTAAAATACAGGTAGCAAATTGGTTTTAGTCTTAAA